CACTACACAGGAAGTACACACCCAGTAGTTAAGTGGTATACTGTATCATACACTCACACACACACACACCAAGTACACATATTATACACACAACAGTGCCTCACCCTGTTGTAGTGCTCCTTAGTGTACAGTGCCGTTCACTGCTTACCGTTTCACTGTCTGCCGTTCACTGCTTACCGTTTCACTGTCTGCCGTTCACTGCTTACCGTTTCACTGTCTGCCGTTCACTGGTTACCGTTTCACTGTCTGCCGTTCACTGCTTACCGTTTTACTGTCTGCCGTTCACTGGTTACCGTTTCACTGTCTGCCGTTCACTGGTTACCGTTTCACTGTCTGCCGTTCATTAAACTTAATTATTCCTTTTGTCAGTCTTCACCACTTTACTACAGTGTTGTTCATTACGTTCACTCGTCCCGTTCACTACAGTGGTGAACATCATCCTGTTTATCGTTAACTCTTCTGTGTCACCTGTGGGTGTCATTTGTGTGTCACTTGTGTGTGTCACTCGTGTGTCACCTGTGTGTCGTCTACCTGCCACTAAACACAGTAAGGTAAGGTGGCATGTGTCCATCATGATGATGACGTCACATTCAGCTGTTTTGATATGGTGACCACAATACTCCCTCCTCCCTCCCTCCCTCCCCTCCTCCTCCTCCCTCCTCCCTCCTTCCTCCTCCTCCTCCTCCCTCCCTCCTCCCTCACCTGAGATAAGGTTGACTCTCATCATTGTCTCGTTATCTGTCGCTGTCTGTTGTATCAGCGGTTCTGTGGCGCCGCTATCGTGAGGTTTAGTTACCTGTTGGTGGTAATAATCCTATAGGTATCCATCAGACCTTTATATAGTAAACAACAAGGCTCTAAGACAGGGGTTCTTAACCCCCAAGGGGTCCATGAATGGGCTTCAGGGGGGTCCGTGAAGGTCAGATAAAAATTTAACATTTATATTCACTATATTTTTTCCGTTCAGCATGCAACTGAATGAAACTACTGACGTCTCTCAGTGCACCCAGCTCCTGGTTTTCGTCCGCTATTTGCATGCTCATGCCATCAAAGAAGAATTCCTATTTTGTGAGCCCCTTTTGGAAACTACAAAGGCCATCGACATCTTAGAAATGGTGAATAGTTTCTTTGCCAAGCAAAACTTCGACTGGAAGAAAAATCTTGGTACTCTGTGCACAGACGGAGCACCTGCGACGCTTGACAACACATCTGGTTTTGTTGCTTTGGTGAAGAAAGAAGCTCCTCAGGTCACCGTGACCCATTGTTTTCTACATCGGCATGCATTGGCGTCAAAGACTCTGCCAGCAATTCTGAAATAAGTCTTGTCTACTGACGTGAAAGTCGTCAACTTCATCAGAGCCAGGGCTGTGAACCATCACGTTTTCAAGAGGTTTTGTCAAGAAATGGGAGCAGAATATGAAGTTCTTCTCTACCACACAGAAGTTCGCTGGCTTTCCAGAGGACAAATCCTGAGGCGCTTGATTGAACTTCGAGCAGAAGTTTCACTTTTTTTTGAGAGAAAAAGAAAGTCCACTCTCAGAACAGTTTGGCAGTGAGGAGTTCATTCGTGGCTTGGCCTACTTGGCGATATTTTTGGCCATATGAATGAGGTGAATCTTGTGATTCAAGGCCCTGGAGTCACCATTATGGATGCTGCTGATAGACTGCAAGCTTTTCTGGCCAAGCTGCCACTGTGGAAGAGGAGGTTGGAGGCAGACAACTATGCAAACTTTCCAATGTTAGAGGAAGTGCTTCTGCAGGATGGAATCGAGAGTGACAAGGCCCTGTCAATTTCTCTGCAGGCAGAATTCTGCAGACATCTGGATACTCTGCAGAACTCTTTCAAAGGTTACTTCTGCTCAGGTGACCTTAAAGTTGAAACGTGGATTCGTAATCCTTTCCTTGCCGACATAGACTGTATCAGTGATGAAGACCTTGCCAAAGATGACCTCATTGACCTGAAGACAAAGGAAATGTTACGAAATGAATTCAACTCGAAGAGCCTTGGAGAATTGTGGTGTGCGTTGACACAAGCCTACCCTCGTCTGGTAAAGCGAGCTATGGGTGCTCTGATTCCGTTTGCTACTACATACCTTTGTGAGTCAGGGTTTTCAGCACTTGTTTCTATCAAAACGAAAAGTCGAAATCGATTGGATGTCAAAGATGACATGCGTGTTACCTTGTCAAAGACCACTCCACAGTTTCACCTTATTCAAGCCAAACAACAACAACAACCTTCTCATTGAAATGAACTTTTGAGCAGAATTAAAGTTTTCTTTTGTTTAATTTGCACAAGATGATTGTATTTCATTTTTGTATGGAGTGGCCATTAAGTTTTGCATAAAAAAGTGTGAAACATAATTCTTTGTTAATATTGTTTACTTTATTCATACTTTGTGTATGTGATACACTGTATGAGGCAATGAATTTTCAATAACATAAAGTATATTCATTGCATGCAAAGTTGTGCTGATGAGCATTTTTATAGGGAGGTCCATAGCTTTCACCAGCTTCCCAAAGGGTCCGTGACTCAAAAAAGGTTAAGAACCACTGCCCTAAGGGAAACCCCTGCTCGCTGGAAATATATCGACGACTCCACCATTGGGATCAGCATCAACAATTCTGCTCCCGACTATACCGCCCTTCAGGATTTATTGAACAGTCTCCAAAACTGGGTCACCAACAACCACCGTCACCATCAACCATACCAAGACCATGGTTATGCACATCAACCTCTCCTCCGACGTTGTCCCACCCCTTTCCATTACTTTAGGTCCCAACACACTCCAGGTTGTAGATTCCACTAAGCTCCTCGGCGTCACCATAGACAACAAACTAAATTGGAAACCACACGTCAATGAAGTTATCAAATCCTCCAGTTTCCGTCTCCACCTCCTCCGCCGACTCAAGTCCCTCGGAGTTCCTGCACCCGAGCTCCTCAGTGTTTACTCAACATTCATACTTCCCAAGCTCACCTATGCCTCCCCTACCTAGTCTTCCTCCCTAAATACCACACAACGTAAACACCTAGAAAAAGTGCAAAAGAGGGCATGCAAGATTATTCTCTCCCCTTGCTACTCCACATATCAAGAAGCGCTCAACACACTGACCCTCTCGGCTCTCACTGACCATCACCACGACCTCATCTGTAAATTTGGTAAGAAGCTTCTGCACCATCCTCGCCACCGGCTCCTACTACCACCTGAGATCCCTAGCCCGAGAATTGCTGTTGGACACCACAACCGCATCCAGCCCATACGTGCACGAACTGATCGCTATAAGAACAGCCCAGTCCCAACCATTGTAAAAATTATCAATAACTTGTAATAAACCAGTGTATTCACTCCCAGTAAATACTACTTCTTGCACTGTCACTATGTTGAAATGCCCTGCAGTTTGAGCTTTTCCCCATCTAGTTATTATATATCTTATTTGTATCACTTATGTTATTTGTATATTATTTGTAATTCAAAACCCATTCCCTAATTATGTAACTGTATATTTTCAGCCTTCTGACTGCCAAGCTCTTTCAATAAACCGTTAATTATTATTATTATTATTATTATTATTATTATTATTATTATTATTATTATTATTATTATTATTACACACACACACACATTAATTTGTGTAATATCAAGTGGCACTAAGATGACTCCAGTTTTTACGAACACACACAATATTTTAGTGTTTAAATAAATCCGGGAGCCGTTCTTGGCAACAGATAAGATGTTTGTTTATAGTGATAGTGTGTGTCCTCCCCCCACACCACTACCACCATCACTACCACCACTACCACCACTACTACTGCTATCAACCACCATTATCACTACTACCACCACCACCACAACTACCATCTTCTCTACCACCACCATCTCAGCCTCACCTCCTGGGAGAGAACATGAGAGGTGGTAACACAATTTCTGCCGTGTAAAACCTAATCAGGAAGCAAGATGGCGGACAACACAGGTAGAGACACTAGTAGATGCTTAAAATAGATAATAAAGTTAGGTTATTTACTCAAGCAATCCTCTCTGTACTCTGACGACTCCCTCCTGTACTCTGACGACCCCCTCTTGTACTCAGACGACCACCTCCTGTACTCAGACGACCCTCTTGTACTCAGACGACCACCTCCTGTACTCAGACCTGACGCCCTCCTGTCTGACGACCCCTCCTGTACTCTGACGACCACCTCCTGTACTCTGACGACCACCTCTCTGGCCTCAGACGATCACCTCCTGTACTCTGACGCCCTCCCTGTTGCTCTGACTGACCCTCCTGCCTCTGACGACCACCTGCAGCCTCTGACAGCCACCTGGCCTCTGACGACCCTCACACTCTGACTACCACCTCCTGTACTCCAGACGACCACCTCCTGTGCTCACATTTTCCCTCCCTGTACTCAGACGACCACCTCTTGGCCTCTGACGACCACCTCCTGGCCTCTGAGCAGCCACCTCCTGTACTCAGACGATCACCTCCTGTACTCTGACGACGCCCTCCTGTACTCTGACGACCCCCTCCTGTACTCTGACGACCACCTCCTGGCCTCCTGACGACCACCTCTCTGTGCCAGACAGTCACCTCCTGTACTCTGACGACGCCCTCCTGTCTCTGACGACCACCTCCTGTACTCGACGACCACCTCTGTACTCTGACAACCACCCCCTGTACTCAGTCTCCTGTACTCTGACTACCACCTCCTGTACTCAGACGACCACCTCCTGTACTCAAACTGACCACCTCTTGTACTCAGACGACCACCTACTGTACTCAGACGACCACCTCTTGTACTCTGACGACCCTCCTGTACTCTGACTACCACCTCCTGTACTCTGACGACCACCTCCTGTACTCTAAGAAAACCACCTCTTGTACTCTGACAGCCACCCCTGTACTCTGACGACCCACTCCTGTACTCCTGACACACCACCTCCTGTACTCAGACGACCACCTCCACCAGCCTTGACTACCACCTCCTGTACTCAGACGGCCACCTGCCTTACTCTGACGACCACCTCCTGGCCTCAACGACCCTCCTGTACTCATACCCCAGGGCCCACGCAGCATCTGGTCTTAATCAACTAAACTCAATTCGTCAGTAAATATTTCACAAATTCCCTGCCACCTGTTAACTCTACACACAAACCTTTTCTTACAACATTGAACATTCACCTAGCAAACCTTAACCGACATCTAACCTAACCTAACCTTAACCAACTTGTATCTAACTAACCTTAACCAACTTGTATCTAACCTAACCTAACCTTAACCAACTTGTATCTGACCTAACCTTAACCAACTTGTATCTGACCTAACCTTAACCAACTTGTATCTGACCTAACCTAACCTTAACCAACTTGTATCTGACCTAACCTTAACCAACTTGTATCTAACCTAACCTAACCTTAACCAACTTGTATCTGACCTAACCTAACCAACTTGTATCTGACCTAACCTGACCTTAACCAACTTGTATCTGACCTAACCTGACCTTAACCAACTTGTATCTGACCTAACCTGACCGTGACCTGTTCTCCCTCCCCCCCAACTACTACTTTACTCCCTTCCTTTCACCACATAAGAACATAAAACTGGAGGAAACTGCAGCGGGTCTATTGGCCCATACTGGTCAGTCCCGTTTATACCCAACCCCTATTGCTCATATAAGCATCCAACCTGTGTTTGAAGCTATTCAGCGTATTCGAGTTAATGATGTTATTTGGTAACTTGTTCCATTCATCCACTACTCTCCATCACTGCTCCTCCTCCCTCAACACACACACCTCGTCCTCCTACTCTTTGATGGAGGACGAGAGTCTTCCTTGGTGTCGGACAGTTTATACAGATTTTTTAACAGGGATTAGCCTAACACCCGCACAGGTCACTGACCCACATCGGGACCTGGGGGCGAAAATGAAAATGTAATAATAATAATAATAATAATAATAATAATAATAATAATAATAATAATAATAATAAATACAAAAATGAAAAAAGATCGAGAGTTAAAAACAATATACTGTATGTTTGTTGTGTTGTCATAGTAAGAGAAACAATTGAGACCTTACAATTGTGTGTAAATGAAGCAGAAAGTCAGATCATCAACCTGGGACTTGGTCACATATGGCAGCAGGGTCTACCATTAAACTACATGCTTCCAATATCTTCCCAGGCGGTAGTACCTCCCTGTTTGGTAGCTGCCTGAGTTACCCCTCACAAGCGCTACCCGAGCCACCTAACACACCCCCCTGTGCTACGACACTCCCCTAACACATTCCCCTAACACACACCCTTAACACACTCTTCTGCACCA